GTGTACACAGATACACCTCTCTCTTTTTCTCTCTCTCTCTCTCTCTCTCTCTCTCTCTCTCTCTCTCTCTCTTTCTCACTCTCTCACACACAGAGGAAAAAAGTCAGGAGGGAGGAGGAAAGATAGTTATATATATATGCAAGGGAAGGAAGCAGACATCTTGTAGCTGATCCATGTTGTTGCTGACCCACTGGTTTACTTCAGTAGTCTGAACCAGTGTCTGGTTCACAGTTGCTGTGTCCTGCCTACTTTTATTTTCAATGTTGATGTGCTGGATAGCTTTAGAGTCAACTTGATACACCTGGGTTGAGGGAACCTCAATTGGGGAATTTCCTCTATTGGACTGGCCTGTGGCCATATCTGAGGGGCATCTTCTTGATGAGTGATGTGGGAGGGCCCAGCCCACTGTGGGTGGTGTCACCCCTGGGAAGGCGGGCCTATGTGGCATGAGAAAGCAGGCTGAGCAGGGGCCAGAGGAGCAAGCCAGTGAGCAGTGTTCCTCCATGGCCTGTGCCCCAGCTACTGCCTCCAGGTTCCTGCCCTGAGTTCCTACCTTGGGCTCCCTGATGAACTGTGACCTGGGAGTTGTAAGCTGAATAAACCCTTTCCTCCCCAAGTTGGTAGTGGTCAGTGTTTTGTAACAGCAATGAAGAAACAAACCAGGACACCAAGAAAGGAAACTCTGGTAAAAGTTCCAAAGCACACATCCTGGCTACACTGAGTCAATCCAGGCACTGTTCAGGCTGTATTTCCTACAGTCTACTAAGACCTAAGCAGACTTTTTTTTTTTTTTTTTTTTGGTCTTTTTGAGACACGGTCTCTCTGTAGTCCCAGCTGGCCTGGAACTATGTAGACCAGGCTGACCTTAAACTCACAGAGATACACCTGCCTCTGCCTCCCAAGTGCTGGGATTAAAGACGTGCGCCACCATGCCCAGCTGCTTTTTATATTTTGAGATATGGTCTTGCCATATAGCCCAGGCTGGCCTTGAACTTGAAGTCTCCCTTCCTCTGTGTCTACAGTGCTGTGATTATGGGATGGTGCGCCAATTGTCCTCTGACATTTACATGCACATTGTAGCATACGTGCACGTGGTGACATACAGACATACACACAAATAAATGTCATGTTAAAATATGCATTAAGCATATTGAGATAATCTTCCGGGATGGGTGTCACCAGGGCAATAGAACAAGGTAAATAATCTCATGAAGCCTCAGAACCACAAGAAGGACATTCCAGAACCTTCTCCCACATTCCCCAAGGTGAAGTTATGGGATTCCCTCCTCCAGAGAGAAATAATCGACCCAGAAACCTTGCCCTCTACATTGTCTCTCTCAGAGTCTACTCAGAGAATTCCTGGCAGGGCATACCTCATATGGTCAGGGTGTAGGACATGCACCTCCCAATCTATCTGACTCTGCCTCATAGCCAGGTTGTCCCTTCCCCACACATTCTTTCAGTGCATTCTAGAACCAGAGTGGGCACTGGGAAGCACAGCAGACTTATTTTGTTCTGTTGAGCGTCTCTGAGTGACTGTCTTGCTTTTGGCTTGGCCAATTCCAATTTTCATTTTTTTTAAATTTTATGTTTATGAGTGTTTTGCCTGCATGTGTATAAGTGTACCAATATCATGCAGTTGCCCCTGGTGACCAGAAGGTATTTGATCCCCTAGAACTGGAATTATATACTGTTGTTAGCTTCCATGTGGGTTCTGGGAACCAAACCTGAGTCCTCTGCCCCTCCAACTTTGTTTTTTGTTTTTTTTTAAACTATTTTAATTTTATGTGTATGAGTGTGTATTGCCTGCATGTATGTGAGTGCACCCGTGTTGTGCAATGCCTCGGAGATCAGAAGAGGGCTTCGGATTTCCCTGGAACTGAAGTTAAGGATGGTTCATAGCCACCATGTGGGTGCTGGGAATTGAACCCAGGTCCTCTGCAAGAGCAGCTGGTGCTCTTAACCGCTGAGCCATCTCTCCAGCTCCGCAACTTTGTTTGTATATCACCATTTTCATCAGCATCATGGGCCACTATAGTGGAAGGAGCCCAATTGGGAGCTAGGAGTCCTGGGTTCCATCCCCACATGTAAAAGTTCAAATGATACATGATGCTCTCTGTCCAGGCCAGAACATTGCTGAGGGGCTGCCTCTCTGAGTCCTGGCATCTTTGGGAGATTCCAGACCTTAGTTAATGGGAAGATACTGGCTGTGTGTACATGGAAAATGAAATGCTGCCCATCAGTTGGATCACAGCCAAGCAAGGATGACAGGAACAAGGCTGGATCTTCACAGTGTTCTTTTGACTCCATAGTAAAGGGTCATTAAGCAGCTGTGGACACTGATCCCAGAAGGTTAGATCTCTAGGATCAAGGCAGGTGAAAAGGCAGCACCTTAGAACCATCCATATGCCTTTGAACTGATATATTTTCATGACAGTTTCTTGTCCCATAGTTGATTTAGAAAAATAAAATTGAATATCTCTCACTGCTCCTGTGTAGCTTTTGAGTCCTCCTGAGGGAAATTTCTGGATACTGTCACTTTGATACATGAAACCAATTGGGAAATTAGAGCTCAAATGGTCACTACTCTCATCCCATAGTTCTGCCTTCTGCAGCCCTACATGGAGAGGATGTTGCCTGTTTCACACAGGGACACACGGAGCTCACACAGGGGAGGTCCCTGGTAGCTGCCAACGTCATGGCTGGGACTAGGAGCCTCAGGTCCTGGCAGATCAGCTACACTTCTCAGTGCCTTCCCTCTGACAAGCAGAGACTGCTGCCCAACGAGCCCACAGGATGATTGAGGGGTAGGGGAATCAGGCCCCAGCAAGTGACAAGCAGAAACTACTGCCCGAGATTGGAGGGTCAGGCCCCAGAAATTGCTTTTCCATGTCCCTACCTTTCCAAATCCCGGTGGACACAGAGTAGCTACAGATCCACAGTTCTTCAGAGAAACGGGGCTCCCTTGTGCCAGTTCCAGTAATGTGTTTCCATGTGGCATCCCAGGTACTCTTTATCAACTTCAGATGAAAATCACACCCATTTTCCTCAAAATTTCCCAAACCTGCTGCTTGTCTGGAACAGCCAATACCAGCAATTTCCTGTGCTGGAATCCCTGGCTTGTTGATTTCACAAGCCCATAGCACAGCTGTGTAGAAGAGAGGCTAGTTTATTAAAGAGTATTTCAAGTTTCCCTATGTAGTTCAGACGTCATCAAGGGGAGGCTGACCACAGAACTGAGATTCAGTTCTGAGATCCAGCATGCTTGTCTGGAACAGCCAATACCAGCAATTTCCTGTGCTGGAATCCCTGGCTTGTTGATTTCACAAACCCATAGCACAGCTGTGTAGGAGAGGCTAGTTTATTAGAGTATTTCAAGTTACCCTGTGTAGTTCAGACATCATCAAGGGGAGGCTGACCACAGAACTGAGATTCAGTTCTGAGATCCAGCAGGAAGCTCCCAGGAAGTACATGTCAGCCCCA